GGATGGTCGGACACCTGTACACCTAACCGGATGTCGATTCCAGTCAGTCCTGTTCCCTTGGTTTTCACCATCTGCAAAGCTCTGCACCATGAGGGGGAATCTGAAGCCAGAGCAGCATACGCCACTCGCTTAAGGTCACATAGTGACTGAGTTACTGCTCCGCGGCTGTGGTACAATACTTGACAGAAATCAGCTTTAGGAAGGAAGGGTGTATTGTGGATGTGTGGATTTTTCTTATACAGTCCAAGGTATAGTCCGTCCAGGCAAGGAAGTCCAGCAACGTGTCACGCTGCATCCTCAGACAGGGAGCACAAAGCAGTGCTCCGGTTTGCTTTCTCTGCTTCATGCCGGACTCCACATACCTGCCAGGTAGGGTCTTCCTACCTTAATGAATGCATTCAAGATGATTAACTCCTCCCTACAGGCATTGCCTAGAGGGCCATAACCTAGGTGATTTTAGACTCTGCCAGGTTGGCAACACTAATTGTCACACACAGCTAGTAAGCGGGGATCAGAATTCAAGTCTAGGCCCAACAGCGGCAGAGCCCACTCCCAGCCGCAGGGCACGTGATCAAAGCGATGTTCTCTATGATGCCATTTGCTGCTCAGACTGCCGTGGCTGGGCTCCGCTTTTCACATTTTATAGCAAAACACAGGCTTTAAATACTAGGTCTGATACAGTCAACGATGCATTTAGCATTTCAAATGAAATTATGTCAGTGGAAACATGTCTCTGAGCTGTAAAAATGCTCTACAAATAAGATCAAATTATTGTATCTAATGCATGCTAAGGAGACAGTCAGAGATGTTGAAAGGTTTGCCCAAGGGCATGGGAACATCAGATGGTGCGGACCAGGGTGCCAGCCCTAGTCTTGGGACTGCAGGGTAAACAAGGGAACCAAGAAGCCTGTGCTGGTCTTTAGTGTCCCTTCTGTTGCTTGAGCTTTGGCTCATTCCTTTTTAGCTCTTAGTGAAACTTAGAGTCAAGGCAGGGGTTGGGGTGCTGGTGGTGGAGGGGGTGGTGGTATCTCTCAGGATGGTGCTGTGGTCGTTGAGTCTTCTCGCGGGAGGCAGAGCTCTGGGGCAGGTGGGTGGAGAGGAGAGGCTGGGCTGCTCTGTGAGTGGGGGCAGGAAGGATTTTATAACCCTATAAAACCCAGGCAATGAGATATTTTAAAACTCGGAATTAAACTGGAATTCAGGGTACACTCTTCCAGTGTACACAAAATACCATTACCAAACTTCTTAAGTAAAGAAAACAGAAGTATGTTTGTTTAGAAAGATCCAAGGATTGAACCTGGACCTGTGGAAGGTGTCAGCATGGGCTCCGCAGCAGATGCATGTAATATGAAGGCCTGCAAGACAGCCATAGTCGGTCTTTGCCAAGAACCACAAATTGCTTGTTTGCTTGTTCATTCATTTTCTAAGGGATTCGCTGTCCAGATCAGGAGCCGTGCAAGGACTATTTCATGTACGTTTATTTATTCTTCACCAAGTCCTGTGTGCCTGGCCCCATCGTAGGAGTTTTTAAGATGAAGAAATGGGCACTTGGAGACAGTAAGCAACTTGGCTCCAGTTCCCTGGACAGTAAGAGATGCAGCGAGATATGGATCTATCTTACAACCAATCTGCTATTTCCTCGAGACATGCAGAAGAAAGCCTTTTCATTGTCTCTGTTCTTAATCTCAGATCTTCCATTTGAGTCTTCTCTCTTCCTCTCTGAAATACATTTCTGTAACTTTCCTCCAATGAGGGCCATGCCTGCTAGTTTTTGTTTTCGTTCCTGACTAATGCCCTTGTTTCTCTTGTTCTGAGAGGAAGGGTTTCGCCCTCTTCCTCTGGAATGTTTGTTGCTGATGAGAAACCAGCTACTCCGATGCGAGCCACTGTAAAGTCCCTAAACCTTGGTGCTGCTTTTAAAACATCCTCTTGGGAGTGCGGAGGTGGCTCAGCTCAGGGTAAAGAGCTAGGACTAAGGTCAGCCCCCTGTAGCAGGGCAGGCTAGTAATCTCTGGGCTAGGGATGGGGTCAGGGACAACCTAAAGGATCCAGAGGCCTCTGCAGCCAGCCAGTCAGGAGCACCAAGGTCATTGAGAGAGACCTTGTCTCCCTGCATTCCACTACTTACCTAGCTTTCTTACTCTGCCGTGGTTCAGTACCCCCTGCCTGGAGAATGGTGCTTCCCACAATGCACTGGGTCTTCCTACATCAATTGACATTCAAAGCACAGAGATGCCCAAGCAGACCAATGTGATTCAGGCAGTCCTCATGCAGACTCTCTTCCCAGGTGACTCTAGGTTGGCATTTAAAACTACCCATGACAAGGACAGGCAGGATGGCTCAGCAGTTAAGAGAAAACGCTGTTCTTTCAGAGGACCTGTGCTAGGTCCCCTGTAGTCGTGTTGGTATCTCACAAGCACCTGTAACTCCAGCTCTAGGGGGATGTGACACTTTTGGTCTCTGTTGGTACCTGTGTTCATATGCACATAGCTACATACATACAAATACTTAAAAACAACAGCAATAAAAACATGGTCACAGACAGGAAGTGGGGCTGTGCTACAAAACCCTCAGGGCCCACCACAGTGATCTACTTCCACTGGCCTGGCCACACCTCCTAAAGTTTTCATAGCCCCCTTGAAACAGTGTCACCCTCTGGGGACCAAGTGTTCCAACACATGAGTCTATGGGAGGGTTTGAACCCTGATAGACACGTGTGATTTAGAGGGGGAGAGAGGTCATTCAAAATACTCCCTGTCAGCTGTTTTGAAATGCTAAGGTAATTACTATCAGCCGCAGTCGCCATGCTGTGTTATAGAGCGTTAGAAATAATAATATGGAAAGTTATGCAAGATGGCTGGAGATGTGAAGAAGGCACTCCTGTGTCGCTCAGCTTGCTGTGACTGCAACAAATCACTTCTGGACACCGTAAGATAAGCCTGTAGAGACACAGCGTATTTTGACTCATGACCTTGGAGGTTTTGGTTCCTGGTTGCTTGGTTCTTTTGCTTTCGGGTATGTGGCAAGGTTGTATACAGTATCGAAGTTCGCTGCTCATGCTCAGAAGGATGAAGAATAACGGGAATGGTTTGAAGAAAGAGTGGTTTTGTGTGCTGGACAGCTTCTAAGACACAGGAAAACCACTGGGCTCTCAGTGAGAAGGTCCTGGTGACAGTCCATGAAGGGGTGTAAGCAGAAGCCAGAATTATGTGTAGGTGTAGTCTCTAAATGAGAACATCTTCCATTGTGGGCTTTTTGTTGATTTTGGGGGGTATAACTAACAAACAGGATGCAAGTGAGCCCGTACAGGTAGCACAGAAGACAGAAGACAAGCAACAATGACGAAATAATTATGGGAGACTGATCTCTTAGCTGGCCAGCGTGCACCCAGAATGGCTGCTCTGGTCTCCACGTTGTGTATCAAGTCTCCTTTCTAAGCGCATAAGCTTGCTCATTCCCCAAGTGCTGCGCCCTTTGGAAAGCATTTCCCTGTCTATTCACGTACCCCAGGCACTGGCAGCCACTCTTCTAGTTTTCTCTATGCGTTCAGTATTTTAGGTTTTACCCAAAAGTCAGACCATGCAATGCTAGCTTTCTGTCTGACTCTCTGTAAGAGCGTACCAGTGTACATGTGTGTACAAATGTATATGTGCATGTGTGTGCGTGAGTGTACAAGTGCATGACTGTGCAAGTACATACATGTGCATGAGTGTACACACACTTATGTGTACATGTGTGTACACGTGCATATGTGTGCACGAGCATACAAGTGCATGTGTGTTTATGTGGAGGCCAGAGGCCAACATTGAATGTCTTCCTCAGATGTTCTCCGGTTTACTTTTTGAGACAAGGTCATAATGAACCCGAAGCTCACCAGTTCAGCAGGCCCCAGAGGTGTGTGTGTGTGTTCACGTGTGTGTGTGTGTGTTCACGTGTGTGTGTGTGTTCACGTGTGTGTATGTATCTCACAATTACTTTATTACTCTGTCAGTGGATGTGGAAGCTGTTTCCTGTTTTGATTAAAGTGCTTAAAATTAATAAGAAAATGAAGACATGCATTTAAATCATTGGATTTTTTTAAAAAACATGTGGCTAAATAGTTTTATTCTTTAGTTTGGAATAATCTTTTTCTATCTTCAAATCTTCATTTTTGAGTCACTGGAGTCCAGAAAAAAGTAATATATTAGAGGTGGTATGAAACATCCCCTAAATAATGGAATTTGAACTTGCTGTAGCATATAGCACTGTTTAGTTAAAAAAAAAAAAGGGGGGTCCAGTAAATGGGAAAGGACTGAGGACTCTGAGAAGCAAGGAAACAGAGATCAAGAAGTCTGGGGTACTGTAATCGGGGTCCTATGTTTTTGACTCTGGAATATGATCTTAGGAGCCTCTTCGTACATATCACAGATAATCTCAGCAGTAGGTTACTCCCCCCCCCAAAAAAAATCCCCAGCTAAATGAATTAAATGATGATAGTTACCACACAGACAGCCAGAAGACTGACGAAGGTGACCAGGAGTGTCAGTGATCAGTGAGTCAGTGATACCGTATGGTTTGTGATTCCTTCCGCTTCACTCTCATGCTTCTGCCCCTTGGTCACAACGTGGCTGCAGAATCCCTGCTTAGTGTATGAACCCACACAACATCTTTCAGAGGAAGGATGCCTGGAACCCCCCAAAAGCCTTCTGCTGTCTTATGCAGGGAGAAGAATAGGTCAAGAGCTCACCCTACCTTGTTGACAGTCAAGGCCTCTTTTTTTTTTTTTAAAACATGAACTGAGGTTCTGGGGCAGTCGATGAGGTTGCCACAGTGTCCAGAGTGTGTGAGAAAGGAGGACGGAATGGCTGATGGCTGGAATTGCTTAGAAAAGCAGAGCTGTCTCATTCAAAGCCTGCACCAGGATGAAGGTCCAGCCACTCCAAGGTCTGCTCTGCCCTGACGGTCAACAGTGAATTCCTCAAAGTCAAAGCAAGGATCTCTTCTCTCCATCCTACCCACAGGCTGCACACCGACCTCAGCTGCCCTTTAGGAGGCTGACACCCAGCCACCAGCTGCTTCTCAAGGCCGGGCAGTGGGGAAGCGCCACTTTTCCTCCATGAGCTCAGTCTGGACCTCTGCTGGATGCTCGACTCTTCCCCAGGACAGCATCTCTGAGGAACCCTGAGATTCAGAAGGAGCTCTGGAAGAGTCCAGGCAAGTGTGTGCGTGGCTGTGAGACTGGTTCCTGGGAAATGTGGGGCCTCCTGCATGCAGGTGTGATAGAAGCTGAGAGGAGTAAGTGTTCTGAATGACGATAAGGAGAACTCTGCTCTCTCTCTCTCTCTCGCTCTCTCTCTCTCTCTCTCTCTCTCTGTGTGTGTGTGTGTGTGTGTCTGTGTGTGTGTGCGCGTGTGCGCGTGTGTGTGATTGTTTGTTGCGCTCTGCCATTAAAACCCCGTCAACTCTAAAGTGTGCTTCTCAACCACTTGTATCTTCTCCAATCTTCTTGAGAGTCCTCTAGAGCAACAAATGGGCCATCATCCCGTCCAAGCCCTACCCCCTCCACCAGAAAAAACAGGTAGGAAGCTAATGGGGAGACTTGGACCAAGGACAGCAGATAATGGCCATAGGCAGGGGGTTCCCATGACGACGCAGAAATGGGCAGACAACCTGACATCTTAAAGTGTGTCCAGCAGACCTGGCAAATGTCCTCTGCAGACACAGGTTTGGGGAGCAGCTAAAATAAGAGGCAGTAGGAGGTTGAACCCAGGAGGGAACAACAGAGTGTCAGGCAGCTGAGAGTGACTTCTGGGGCATCCATTGGCAGGGCAAGAATATATGAGACTCATTTGCCCCTCATGATGTGGCTGTATTTTATGTCTTCCTAGAATCTTCCATCGGAGTGTCAATTCCTTCAGAGAAGTCATGAACTATTTTATGTCTCTTCTCCACAGCGGCAATCTTCAATTACAGCTTCTTGAGGCTTTCCTATAAAACAGGCCAGCCAGTCAAGGTTCTAGAGTTTTCCTTCCCAGTGTTGTCATCCGTCTCTGCGGAGAACACACTCAGAAGTGACAGCATTGACCGGAGGTTACTCTGAGGTTGACTTTCCTAGGGCTGTTATAACAAAACCCAAGCTGGGTGATTTCTGACACAAACATCCTGTCCCCCAGAGCTAGTGACTGGAAGTGGGAAATCAAGGTGCCTCCCAGGCTTTGCTTCCTTTTCAATGTGTGGAGACTCCTCCCTGCTGCTCCCTAATTATTGGCCATCTGCACCAAGCTAAGGGATCAATGAGCTTGCAGCCTTATTGCTCGTTTTGTCTATGTTCCATACAACATTCTAGAATCCTTGTGCATCCTTACTGGGACAGCTCATTAGAATACAGTCACATTTGCTTTGGGGCCCCTTCTACTCCAGCATGGCCTCATCTTAATTAATGGCTCCTCACAACCAACTGTCTAAATGACATTCTACTCTGAGATACTGAGGTGCTCACTAGGACTTCACTAGAGCCTTTTCTTTTTGAGGTCAAAATTCATTCCAATGGCATTAATTTGTTCACTGTGACAAGAAGGGCATAAGGAGGGGCAAGGGGTCAGTGTCAACCGTGTCCCTTCGTGGTGCAAGGAGAAGTAAGGGCCAGAAGGAGCTTGTGGCCTCTGCTCCTGGCGAGGTGTAGAGATGTGTGTAACAGGTGGAATTTAGAGGAGCACCCCACAATACCATGCTCAAGAGGAGAAACTGTACCTTCTGGTCCCTTCCCATGTCATAGGACAAGTAGGTCAGGTACTGTGACAGAAAAGAACAAGGCAGCCTTAAACGTTGGGGGACGCTTGGAAATGCCACCAGCCCATGCAGGAGACCTCAGAAGTCCTCACTGTCTTGAGGAGCTGAGTCATGCAGAACTGAAGGAAATGTCTCCCCTAGGCAGCTATGGAGGGGTCCATTACCCCTGGTGGAGGAAAGCTACTGGGCTCAATCAATGCCTTGTTGGGTTGAGCACACTGCTGCTCCCAAACCTGCAGCTCAGTCTCTCTGCTGCCAACTTCTGCTCCCGCCATCTGGGAAGTCCTCAGGGCGAAGGGCATGGGCCTGAGGCTACCAGTTTGTCTGAAACCTGACTGTGTTCCTCTCATGTTGATGGTTTATTTATAGGGGCACTGGCTGAAAAGTCAAGTCACTACAGATGGTCTTTGGTGAGATAGTGTCCCTGCTTCATTTACACATCCTGTCCTGTCTCTAGTAGTTTTTAGTAGTGTCTTATGCATCCTTCCAGATTTGTTTTTTAAAATGTAGTGTGTGTGTGTGTGTGTGTGTGTGTGTGTGGTGTGACAGTGTAGAAGTGGAGCCCAGTGCTTTCCTTAAACCATAGGGATCCTGGGGTTCAAACTCAATTCATCAGGCTTGGTGGCAGGCGCCTTTGCCGCAGGCTAATGTCAAATTTATCATCCTCCTGCCTCAGCCTGTCTAGTGCTGGGTTGCAGACAGATATCACTGCTCTATCCATTTACTCATTGTGTAGTTACAGCAGACTGCCCACAGTTCTAAACCTCACCTTTTCCCGCTTAACACATCCTGCTTTCTTCCCATGGGGCTTTCTCGGTTTCTTTGATTTGCTGAGACAGTGTTCCACACAAGCCCAGGCTGACGTTGAGCTCACTCACTATGTAGCCAAGAATGACATTGGGTGCTGGGATTACAGATGCAGATACGTAACTCCACAGCCCAGTCTGCTGGTCACCAAACCCAGGACTTTGTGCAACCCGCAGCAAGTCCCCTGCAGGTTGAGCCACATCCCCAGCTGGGAGCTTCCCCATTGAGTAGTACCCCATTGTATAGCCAACAGGGTATTTTAAGTCATTTAGAGTTAGAGCTAATACTGGCCTGAGTTCATTGCCTTGTTGTATTGTGTCTGACTATGTATAACATTTAAGATTTCTGAGTTACCTGAAGTAGTCAAAGGACCCAGAATTTGGCTTTCAATACCACTCTAATAGCTGGCAGATGTCTCTGTAAGTAATGCTTGCCTACTTCCAACTGACATCTCCCCGCACCGCCTCTTCCAGTGTCTCATGATTGGACCTGAGTATTGCTGGCCTGTTGGGATCACAGGGAGATTATGAAGGAAAATCATTCTTTATGCTTACACCACCCAAAGTGGAATGTGAGAGCCACGGAGGCCGATGTGTTGTTCAGAAAGGGAAGGGCTAGCTTCTATGTAAATGGGACTCTACCTTATTTGACTGGCTGGGTCGTTTCTTTCTTTGTCTTAAACCTTGAACTTGGTTTGCATTGTGAAGTCCACGTCCTTGTCTCAAGGGAAAGAACTAGGTTGTTTGGTTGTCTTTCCTTCTCTTTGCTGCAATCAAATACCCAATGAAAGGAGGGTTTCTTTGGCTCCCTCTGGGGAAGGCATGGTAGGAGGGTTGGCTTTAGTTGTTGCTGGTGGGAGCCTGTAGCATGGCTTGCTCCCACCCCAGGCGCACCAGGGAGCAGAAAGCTTAGAACCCCTTTATCAATCATAATCCTTAGCTCTGCTACCCTACATCTGTTGGTGAAGCCCCGCATCTAAAAGATTCCAGAACCTTCCAAAGCAGCATCACCAGCTGGGGACAAAGCATTCAAACTCATTAACCTTTGGTTGGCAACTGGATCTCGTGGGGGTGTGTGTGGGGGTGATATGAGATAAAGACACGGTCCCAGGGAAGAAGTCTCACCACCCCTGTGGACCCCAAACATGGATACTGAGCAACCTCTGCATGCCGGGCCCCTGTTGGGTTTTAGAGATAAAATGAAAGAGTTACATTCTGATGCCCAGGAGAGTTACATCTCTCCTAGGATGGGGCAGTGGAAGCAGTGCTACCAGGCAAGTGTAGCATGGGAAGGATGCAGGTGTGTCAGCTGGTTCATGAAAGAAACAAACAGGAAGGATTCACCCTGGAGTCAGGAGGCAGCCAGTTCCTGATTGTCTTGAATCGTTATCATTTTTTTTAAAACAATGCCTGATGCAGGAAGGAAGTGGGGGCCCGGAAGTGGAGGCTGTGAGCTAAGGTGTTGAGCCATCCTGCCCACAGCTCCGATGACTGGCCATGACAAGGTAACAACGGCCAGATGGACTGAGCCTGCTTTCAGTTTTTCTCATTCAAGATCGATTCCTTCCCCAGCTTGTTAGCTGGGTGGTCTTCTCGTTGGACACTCACCTCTTCCCAATGAAGGTAATGAAGCCCAGGCAGTCACTGGACAGAGGAGAGGAGGGTCAGGACCAGGAAGGCATGACTGATGGGTCACAGCATTCTGCCACATCCCCAGAGATGGGATCGTCAGACTTGCAGGCCTGGGCTGCTTGCTGCTTTCGTGGGTTTGTACTGATGCTACCCCTCCCCCCAACCCTTCTCTGTCCCCCATGTGCCTCCCACGGCCCCCAGTCTGCAGGTATCGGCATCTAGTATCTGTGGTTATCTTTGAATAACTGGGTTTTGCTTTGTGTGTATTCTTTCTTCGAGTGTGGCAGCAACAAACCACAGCAGCCTGCAGACAGAACTGGTGGGGAAAGAGCCTGCTGTTTCTCAGAAAATGCTTGGTCCGCAGCAGCAGCTGGTGCCGGCAGGGACATGGTAGAAAATGAAGGTGCTGAAACAGCCTCTGAGTGGTCGCTGAGGTCTCCGCCTTGTGCTACAGATGAAGGAGAAATTAGGGAGTACTTGTTCCAGGTTGAAAAGGACAACAGACTCCTGATGGGGTTCAGACAACGGGTATATCTAGTGCGTGCCTTTGTGTTGATCTCCATGTGGTGACTCGAGATATCCTGTACCTTTCCTGTCCTTAAGGAGCTAGTGATGGGCAGGGGATCAAGTTGGACAGCTTACCCAACCTTTCTAGCTTTGCTCCTCAGAGAAATTAGCTGGAGTCCTAATGATGTTGGTGCTGCCCCCTAGAGGGCAGAGTCATAAATTGTCAGAGAAATTATGCCAGAAGCCCAGGAAAACTAGTTGGGGAAGAAAAGTATATATAACATAAGGATAGAATCTTGAGGTGGTGGGGTCCTTTCCCACCATCAGTCTGTCTAGCTTGGAGCATTTCCAAACACTCTCTGAACTGAAAGGCCCCAGCGTAGCCTGCCGTTTCTGTGAAAGCCGGAAGTCACCCACTGGTTTATAGCATCAGAGTGGAGGTGCTTAGGAAGTTGTTAGGGTCAGAGTTCGGGCTCCAAC